TTTGCCCAACCTCGCGTCACAAAACGCGAATGTACAGCGACACATTGCGACCTGGTGATCTGTACAGTTGTCCACCTGTCATTGAGAATGCGACACTTCGACTAGGGGCCGAGCAAAGACACAAAACCTGAGTGCATCAATCGGGCCCTCCAAACCGGGTCACTATATCGCAACCTGTTAAATTGGCATTCCACACACAATCCAGAGTGCTCTCCCCGAACACAACATCTCCCCTCTCACAACACATGTACAAAAGGACACTAGCTACACACGTAATGCAATTCCTACAATGGCAGAACCACGCGTTGTGTGTCAAAAGAGTACGCGAGAATGAATGCATTGATGAGACAAGTGGGCACAAATGCTTTTGGGTTGTACCCCAAATGGGCTACCCCACTACACCCTACAAAGCACAAGCATCATCATAGTTTGACACACCCCCATAGGCAAAGTGGGGGAGAAACAGCGGTCACAAGACCAGTCAAGAAAAGCAAAGCAAGCTCAGGGTGGATCACGAAGTCGCCACACATTCTGATCACAAGCAAATGGCCACAACGCCGGTCCAGATGCAAAGTTATATAAAAGGTAGCAAACAGTATAGTGATCACTACCTAGCAAGAGTAAGCATGCAGGTATATATGTATAGATCACAGTACAAGCAAAGTCAAGCAGTGAGCAAGTGAGGCAAAGCAGGGACAAGGCCTAACATAGTACAGAAACGCTGATGATCACCAGACGGAAGTGCCTTGGTGAATTCTTCAGCAGTGTTGGCCCGAGTGGCCACGTAAGCAAGACTGTTGGGCTGAGAAAAGCCCTTGGGATCTTTCAAGGCTAAGACTCTAAATAGGAATGTTGTATTTGCATAAGCGTTCCAAGTGAACTTGTTGAACCACCTTGCACTAGAATGTGAGAGAAAGATATGTTGGTTATAGAAAGGCTACAAGCTTTTTATAAGATTACAAGGAATATGAAAAGATGCAATTACTGTTTTACTGTTGCTGTTGCGGTTCGATACAGTGACGACTCGGGCAACTGCTCAATATCGAGTCAGTTGTTTGTCCTTGCTGTCGCGCTGTATTTGTCGAGTCAAAGGTCGCTGACCTTTGACCTTCGCGTAACCTCCAGCTGTTACTTTCTGTCAACCTCCTCGGTTGACTCGCCATTGTTCCGCTGTAGCTTTCTTCGTTTACAGTTTGTTGTTACGATACATAAGAAGCGTTAAGTTACTTGTTTCCAACACTCCCCTTAGCATCTGAAGTGTCGTTGCTGGTGACGTGGCCTTGTCCAGTCAGCAGCATGCAGTACTCGAACTTCTGCTTTCCAAGCTTCTTGGTCAAATAATTGGCTGCCATCTCGAACGTGGGGCAGTAGGATAGCTCAAGTCTCCCCTTCTCAATCTCGTCTTTTATGAAGAAACATCGCAGGGCGATATGCTTTGTCCGGTTCGCGAACACGTTCTTGTTTGTTTTGTGAATTGCCGATTGGTTGTCGCAGAACAGAGAGAAGCTGGGTAACTGAGCCAGCTTCGCTTCTTCCAGCAGTTCGCGAAGGTACAGTCCTTCCTTGGTGGCTGAGCAGAGTGCAATATGTCAGAAGAACTAGGCAAGAATGATGCATTGAATGAAACAGTTGGGTACAAGTAGCAAACCCTAGTTGGGGTTGTACCCCATATTGGCTACCCCACTACAGCCTACAAGCATAATGCAGTTTAACACACCCCCATAGGCAAAGTGGGGGAGAACAAAGGGTCACAAGACCAGTCCAGCAAAGCAAAGCAAAGCCCAGGGTGGATCACAACGTCACCACACTCCGAGCACAAGTAAAGGCCACAAGGCCAGTTCACATGCAGTGCTAGATATAGTATAAGACAAGCAACACAGTGATCAAAACCTAGCAAGCAAGCAACAAGATATATATAAAGTACAGTACAAAGAATGTCAAGCAGTGAGCAAGTGAGGAAACGTGGACACAAGGCCTAAAGAAGTACAGTGCCGCTGATGATCACTAGGCGGGAGCGCCTTGGTGAAGATATCAGCAGTGTTGGCCTTCGAGTCCACGTACACAAGCCGAAGCTGACCGCGCTGCTGAAGCTCTCGAGCAAGAAAGTAGCGAAGAGCAATGTGCTTCGTCCTGTGCTCCAGTCTGTGCTCCTGACACAAGGCAAGAGCCGCCTTGTTGTCACCGTACAGAACTGGAGGAGAACTAGGCCGCTCTCCCAAGTCAGTCAGCAGGTAGGTGAGCCAGCGTAACTCCTGTGCAGCCATGGCTGTGGCGTAGATCTCAGCCTCACAACTAGAGCCGAGAACAGAGGAAGAGCGGGTGGACCGCCACGAGACAGAACCTGAGCCAAGGCTGAAGGTGTAACCCTGTGACGACCGCTGCGTAGCCAGGTCGTCCACCCAAGAGGCGTCCGAGTGACCAGTGAGGACAACTCTGTCGCGTCCTCCAAGCACCAGCCCCATGCCTGATGTACTGCACAGGTAACGCAGCACCCTCTTAGCAGCCTCCCAGTGCTCTCGCCTGTGTCTCCCAGGCGCAACGTAACGAGCAAGGATGCTAAGAGGGTACGCGAGGTCAGGTCATCAGGTACATGAGGCAGCCTACAAGCTCTGGGTACGGGCCACTCGGCTCTACGGACTCGTCCGAAGGTGGAGCTGAGAGCGAGTGGCTGGTAGCCAGAGGTGTGGCCTGTGGTGAGGAGAACTGGAAGCCGAAGCGCTGAAGGACCTGCTGCACCATGTGTGACTGAGTCAGGGTGATGGTGCGGCGAGCTCTGTCCCGGGTGATCTGCAAGCCAAGGTAGCTACGCAGTTCACCCAGGTCAGTGCAGGTGTGTCTCTTCTGCAGCTCCGACTTCACACGAGCGAGTGCCTCAGTGTCAGCAGTAGCAAAGACCAAGTCGTCGACGTACACGAGGATGTAGAACGGCGGCAGCGACGTGTCTGTGCGCAGAAACAACGACGGGTCAGCAGTAGACGGCGCGAACCCAAGAGCCGCAAGAGTAGTCCTCAGTGTGTCGTGCCACTCACGTGGCGCCTGGCGGAGACCGTAGACTGGCCGGCGGAGACTCCACTGGGTACCAGGGGGAAACGACCCAGTAAAGCCAGGTGGGCGGCGCAGCCAGATCTCCTCGTGCAGGCTGCCCTGCAGGAACGCTGTGCTGAAGTCAAGAGAGTGAAGCTCGTAGTCACGCTGAGCAGCAACGTGCAGCAGAACCCGAAGAGTGGTCATCTTCGGGGTGGGGGAGAAGGTCTGGAAGAAGTCGACCCCCTGACGCTGACTGAAGCCTCTAGCAACGTAACGAGCCTTGAAGACAGGCGGAGAACCTGGCGGCCGCTTCACCCTGAAAATCCACATACCATCGACGATTTTCGCCCCAGGAGGGGGAACCTCGTCGACGTAGGTGCCTGTGGACTTCCAGGATGCCATCTCTGCGTCCATGGCTGTCTGCCACTGAGAGGAGTAGGGACCCGAGATCGCCTCTGCGTAAGTGCGCGGAGTGGGGATGTCTACTGCATCCGGGTCTCCCTCAGGGGCAAGAAACCAGGCCATGAGATGAGGTACAGCAGCCGCAAGTGAGTCAAAGTCCTCCTGCCTGTCCTCAAGGACGTCCGTGCCAAGAGCACACTCACCCCCGACGGACGGAGGACAGACAGACGCAGACTCTGACTCAGCGACAAGGCTAGCAGCGTAGTCTAGACGACAGGCAGCAGCAAAGTCAACCAACTCAGCGACCAGAGCAGACGCAGCCGAGGACTCAAAGGTGGGGTCAGTGACAACAGTAGCAAGGAGACGCGTGACTGTAGGGTGCTCAGCGCGATACCGGTCAGACTCAGGGTCCGGAATGGCAGGCAAAGAGGACGCAGGAGGAGACGGTAGAGGGACACGCCGAGGAGCAGTAGAGGGACGCAGAGTCATGTAGTGAGTGCCTGGGACAGGAGGAGGACGCTCACGACGGACACGACTACCAGTGCGAGCAGGACGAACAGGCGACGCAGGACGAGACTCAGGCTCACGACGCTCTGTAAGACCTCCTGTGGGACCAGTGTAAGGAGAGGGAGCAGGGAGAGGCGAGGTAGGCGGTAACTGTGACTGCGGCTGGACAGGCGGAGGACACTCTACGGAGGGAGGAGGACAAGGAGGAGGAGCCTGCCCAAGAACCTGCTGAAGGAGCGGTACGAAGTACGGTCGCGGCCGCGCAGCGTCTCCAGAAGCAGAAGGGACTCCAGCGGCCGGGTCCTCAGCACCAGTAGGAGCTCCAGCGTCCGGGTCCACAGCACCAGCAGCAGCTCCACCGGCCGGGTCCCCAGCTCCAGCAGCAGCTCCACCAGGTGGGTCCGCAGCACCAGCAGCAGCGCCACCCCCAGAGTCGGGAGCTCCAACTCCGCTAGCACCGCCAGCGCCAGAGTCCCCAGCTCCAGCAGCCCCGGCAGCTCCAGTACCCCCAGTACGAGCACCCCCAGGACGAGCAACTCCAGCACCCCCAACTCCAGCCGAGCCACTAGGACGGCGAAAGCGTCGGACGTACCAGTCACGAAGCTGCTGCGGTGTGAGAGACTGCTCAGCACCCCGAACCGGAGCACCCCCAGACACAGTAACCCGAGGCTCCGTAGGCTCAGTAGCAGCACCCCCAGGCTCAGTACCCGCAGGCTCAGTACCCGCAGGCTCAGCACCCCCAGTCGCAGCACCCCCAGGCTCAGCACCCCCAGGCGGCAAACTCTCAGGCACAGTACCCTCAGCTCCAGCACCCGCAGTCCCAGCACTCCCAGGCCTCGCACCCGCAGGCTCAGTACCCCCAGGCGCAGCACCCCCAGGCTCCGTACTCTCAGGCACCGTACCCTCAGCTCCAGCACCCTCAGTCCCAGCACCTGCAGCCCCAGCTCCCCCAGGCCCAGCACCCCCAGGCTCAGCACCCCCAGGCTCAGCACTCCCAGCAGCACCACCCGCAGCAGCACCTGAGTCACCTGTGACCTCGACAGGCTCAGCGACGGGAGGAGGGTCTACCTGAGAGACACCTGAGGGAGCAGGACCCTGAGGGGGAAGGGGGTCTACCGGAGGGGGACCAGGAGCAAGGAAAAGCGGCGGGGGAGGGAGGGGGGCAGTGCGGTAGGGGAAGAGACGGTAAAAAGGGACCGACTCGTCAAAGGTGACATCCTGAGAGGCGAAGACCCGGCGCGAGGTGGGGTGGTAAAACTGCCAGCCAGGCGCGTCAGGGACAAAGCCAAGGAAGACACAGGGAAGCGTGCGGGAGGAGAGCTTGTCCGCAGACGTATCGCGGACAAGGGCACGAGCACCCCACACCCGGAAGCGCGACGCATCGCCAACCTCCCCCGTCCAACGCAGTGTGGGCGAGGTCTCCGGCAAGGAGACACGGGGCCAGAGGTTGAGCTGATGCGCGGCGTACCGGACAGCAAACGGCCACAGAAAATGGGGAGCCGCCGCGTGGACCAAGGAGGTATGAGCGACCTCCATGACCAGGCCAATGCGACGCTCAGCAACCCCATTCTGCTGTGGGGAGTCCGGAAGCGTGAAGGTCTGCTCGATGCCCTCCGCCTGACAGAAGGTCCTCAAGAGATCGGAGGAAAACTCACCACCTCTGTCAGAGTGCAGACGCAGGACAGGAAGATCCGTCCGGAAACGGCGGCGGAGCTGGAGACGAACCGTGCGGATCCAAGGGATCAGAACAGCAGGGACCTCACCCTTGGTGCGCAAGGGGAAGACCGTGGTGTAACGCGAGTAGTCGTCGACAACCAGCAAAAAGTACCGCTCACCGCCCTGACCACGAACGCGGGCTGGGCCCCACACGTCCAGGTGGAGGGTCTCCAGAGGAGCCTCTGTCGGGGGGAACGAGGAGGAGTGAGGAGCGGCGCGCTGCCGCCCCTCGACGCAAGGAAGGCAAGGCGGCGCAGGCGAGGCAGGGAGGGGAGGGAGGGACCTGGGAAGACCGGACACAAGGAGGCGACGGTGCATGCCACGAAGGCGTGGCAAGGAGGGGTGACCCAGGCGGTGGTGCCAGAGAAGAGTCTGGTGCGACAGGGAGCGACACTCACAGGCGTGGGCCACCAGACCTGACGCAGACACCTGACCGACAGCAGCTACCTGGGGAGACGCAGTGGTCAGTGTGTAGAGACTCGACCCCGGCCGACGGGTGAACGTAGCCAGGTGACGGCCGGTCCTGGAGCACGTGCAGATCGCCACACGCTGTCCGCCAGGGGTAAAGGTGTCAACCCACTGATCCTGGAGGACAGCGTTGCTCACCAGGTTCGTCGAGAACGAGGGGAGGTGGAAACCCGACAACGAGCCAGACGGAACCGCCGGACAAGGGAGGACAGTGGTGGACTGGGCAAGGACTGGGCCCCCAGAGGGGTCAGCCAAGGAGACTGGGACCGGTGCAGGAAGCGGTGTGAGCTCAGTACTGTCACGAAAGAAGCAACGGGAAGCACCTGAGTCAAGGGTGAAGGTGTGACAGGCCTCAGCCGGTGCGGTACCTGAGAGAGGAGTCTGTGTGGGTGCTGTACCTGAGAGAGCAGACTCGAAACCAGCCGGGACAGCACTGGGGGGAGCAGGTACAGGGGGCACCATACCAGAGAGAGCAGACTCACTAGTACCCAGGGCAGCAGGCTCTATACCTGGGTCAGGCGGCACACACAAGTAACAGTCTCCCTCGGCACTAACAGTCAATGCATACATGGCAGCAATAATAGCATCATAGTCAAGAGCAAAGACATCAACACCAGCCCTCATGAGCTCAGCCCAGCGGGGGCGCTCAACATCCGCACCCATCTCCTCACGCCAAGCGTCGTCAAGGCGGGAGAAGCAGCGGTACGGGGTGTGGAACCTCCCACACGTCTGTCCCTTGCGGTCACCTGTGCGAATGACATAAGAACAGCGGGCACTGGCCCCCGACGTCCCACGCTGAGCAAGCCACTCACGAAGCTGCTGGGTCGTCTGGGGACGCTGCTGCTGCTGGGAGCTCTGGCCTGAGCCAGTGCCTCCACTCCGACCTCCGCCGCCACCACTACCACCGCTCCGACCGCCACCGCCACCACCGCCACCACCGCCACCGCCGCCACCGCCGCCACCGCCGCCGCCGCCACTACTGCCACTGCTTCCTCCGCCGCCCCCGTCTCCACCACCGACCCCACTCCCACCAGCGCTCCCGCCACCGCTCCCTCCAGCACCGCCTCCCCCCCCACCTCCCCCACCTCCTCCCCCCCCAGCGCCACCACCACCACTTTTGCCCCCCTTGCCCTTGCCGGTGCGGCGCCTCCCACCAGGAGTAGAAGCAGCGCCAACAGACTCAGCACCAAGGAAGTCAACAGCAGCAGCAGCAGCAGCGTAGGAGGGAGCGAGGGGAGAGGGAGAACACCCCTCAAAGATGGGGGTGCGAGGAGCGCCACGAGCAGATGCTCATTTCGGCCGCGAGCAGGTGCTCCTCTAGGAGGGCGACTGTGAGCTCAGTGGGACAGCGAGCAAGGAAGTGGTCTCGAACTGAGCGGAGGGTGTCAGGGAGACGGGTGACTATGAAGTGGAGTGTCCAGTACAGTGGAGGGGGGTTCTTAGCGCAGAACTCGGTGGGAAGAGCGGCACGCAGGCGAGCATCACTAGTGCGAAGGTGGGTGATAAGATCGGCGACTGTAGTAAAGGTGGACAGATCGGGGAACAGGTACGGCAGCATGAGGCGGCTAAGCTCGGCTGTGGCAGGCGAGGAGTAGCGAGCGACGACAGCGTCGTACAGGGCCTTAGCGGATTTGCAGTCGCCAAAATGCTCTAGCTCAGCTAACGGCAGGTGACTGCGAATGGCTAGGCGAGCAGCTGCGTCACGAGTCTGCCAGTGGGAACGAACACTAAGCTCAGCTGTGGCAGGAGGGGCAGGCGCAGCACCAGACGCGTAATCATAGAGCGACACATGCTCCTTGCTATCGCTCAGGAGGAACAGCTGCAGGTCATCTAGCCAAGCGGTGAACCGCACAGGGCGGCCCTCAGCATCGAACGACAGTACGCGGATGGAAGCCATAGCGACAGTGTGACAGAGTAACGCAAGCTGCCGCAGCAGGGGAAGGCGACTGTGCACGGATAGAGAGCAGCGGGCGAGGCTGGCGCTACGGGCAGGCGGCGCTGCAAGCGGTCAGCGCGACGGGAGGGCGACGCTGCGAGCGGGCAGCTCGGCGGACGGGCCGGGAAGCGGGCAGCGCGGCGGGCAGGCGGCGCTGCAAGTGGGCAGCACGGCGGGCGGGCGACGCTGCGAGGCGGGCGGGCCGCGAAGCGGGCAGCGGGCGGGCGGGCGGGCGGGCTGCGAAGCGGGCAGCGGGGCGAGCGGGCTGCGATGCGGGCGGGCCGCGAAGTGGGCAGCTAGCGGGCGGGCGGGCTGCGAAGTGGGCGGGCCGCGAAGCGGGCAGCGGGGCGAGCGGGCTGCGAGGCGGGCGGGCCGCGAAGCGGGCAGCGAGCGGGCGGGCGGGCTGCGAAGTGGGCGGGCCGCGAAGCGGGCAGCGAGCGAGCGGGCTGCGAAGCGGGCGGGCCGCGAAGCGGGCAGCGAGCGGGCGGGCGGGCTGCGTAGCGAGCGGGCCGCGAAGCGGGCAGCGAGCGGGCGGGCGGGCTGCGTAGCGAGCGGGCCGCGAAGCGGGCAGCGAGCGGGCGGGCGGGCTGCGAGCGGGCGGCTCGGCGAGGGGCGCGCGAGGGCGCTAGTGAGGGGCGCGCGAGGGCGCTAGCAAGGGGCGCGCGAGGGCGCTAACGAGGGGCGCGCGAGGGCGCTAACGAAGGGGCGCGCGAGGGCGCTAACGAGGGTGCGCGCGAGGGCGCTAACGAGGGGCGCGCGAGGGCGCTAACGAAGGGGCGCGCGAGGGCGCTAACGAGGGGCGCGCGAGGGCGCTAACGAGGGCGCTACGAGGCTAGGGCACGGGGTAGCGTGGTAACCGCATGCGAGCGGTGGTGGGCCCTTAAAAAAAACGGTCGGTAGGTCCTAGGGACCTCCTGCTCTGAATACCATGTCAGAAGAACTAGGCAAGAATGATGCATTGAATGAAACAGTTGGGTACAAGTAGCAAACCCTAGTTGGGGTTGTACCCCATATTGGCTACCCCACTACAGCCTACAAGCGTAATGCAGTTTAACACAATATATTCTGCTTCAGCTGAGGAGAGGGCGATTAGTTCTTGTTTGCTCGACTGCCACGAGATAGGCCCGATAGGCTAGAGTCGGTAGATGTAGTCGGTGCACGAGCGCCTGTTGTCGGAGTCGCCGGCGTGGTCACCATCCACGTAGCCGATTACCTTGGGCGTCAGGCCGATTGTCGTGGTGCCGAGAAGGGATGGATGCAACATGAGAGACACGGTGCGGCGGAAATGCCAGGCGTGGGGTGACCAGACGGGCGGATAAAGCGGGCGCAACGGAGCGCAACAGGCGCTGACGGGCAGGGCGCAACGTGCGCGACGGGCTGGGCACAACGCGTGCGCGGACGGGCAGGGTATAACGGGCAAGGCGTAACGCGTGCGGACGGGCAGGGCGTATTGCGCGTGGACGGGCAGGGCGTAACGCGTACGCGGACGGGCAGGGTGTAACGTGCGTGGACGGGCAAGGCGTAACGTGCGCGGACGGGCGGACGGGCGGGGCGTAATGTGCGCGAACGAGCAGGGCGCAGGGCGCGACGGGCGGGGACGGGACGGGACATACGCGACGCGATGGGACGAGACGGGCAGACGCGGCGCGACGGGTAAGACAGACGGACGCAACGCGACGGGACGAGACAGACAAACGCGACACGATGAGACGGGACAGGCAAGCGGGATAGGCGCTAGAGGACGATTCAGGTGCAACGGGTGCTAGGGTACGGGACGGGCTTGACGGTAGAACGCTACGGGCATTAGGGGGAGGAACGGGATCCGTCAGGATCCTAACCTAGGTGATACCATGTCAGAAACTGAATGTGGTTTGACTATTGTGGGTTGGGGTACATAAGCCTAACCTTAACTAATGTACCTGTCAGAGGTCCACTGGTGATCCCCGATTTATCATAGAAAGGGTTACGGTCACGTTGGCCTAGGGGGTTATGGGCGCACTCACCCGCTACACAAACAAGCCCTTTTATCCCAGTGGTTAGTGGCTGCGATTATGACATGGTATCAAAGCGGTTACGTTCTTTGGCCGTTTCGTATTCACAATGGGCCCACCGCTAGCCTTAGCCATGGCGCGCCCCATCGAACAGCCTGGCGTACAGCGCGAAATGCGCCTCGCTCGTCGCCCCGTCATGCGCCCCGCTGGTCCTTTTCGTCGCCCCATCGTGCGCTCCGCTCGCCTTGTTTATCGCCCCATCGCTGCCTTAATCGCGACGCTCGTCACGTCCCCTGGCGCGACGTTCGTCTCGCCCGTTGCGCACACCCTTTTCGTCCGCCCCCGCTGCTCGTCTCTGTCAAATGTTATAGCCTCTAGTGGGTTATGCTATATGGGGTACAAACAGTTAGGGTTAGGCATTTGTACCCCAACACAGTCAATCTAACTCATTCCGCTGTTTTCACTTTGTGAGATGGTATCAGCAGTAGGTTCGCCGTTCCTAGGCCACGCCTAGTCTCCGCCCTTCCTAAACTTAGTCTCTAGTCTTGGTGCCCCCCCCCCCCCCCCCCCCCCCCCCCCCCCCCCTCGTTTGCCCTAAACGTCCTAGCCAGCAGGCCCGCCAGCGCCCTAGCCAGCAGGCCCGCCAGCGCCCTAGCCAGCAGGCCCGCCAGCGCCCTAGCCAGCAGGCCCGCCAGCGCCCTAGCCAGCAGGCCCGCCAGCGCGCCCCGCCAGCGCGCACGCCAGCGCGCCCCGCCAGCGCGCACGCCAGCGCGCCCCGCCAGCGCGCAAGCCAGCGCGCCCCGCAAACGCGCACGCCAGTGCGCCCGCCAGCGCGCCACGCCAGCGCGCCGCGCCGCCCACCCCTAGACCCGCCGCGCCACCCGCCAGCCAGCACGCCGCGCCGCCCGCCTGTTCGCATGCCGCGCCACCTGCCCGCCTGCACGCCTGCGCGCCTGCCCACACGCCACTGACTGTCTCACCCTCCCGCGGCTGGCAGCCGCGCTCTCCCACTTTCGCCCCTTATGGCGACCTCCCGAGTACTTTGCTTTGACCCTGAGGGGAGACCCATAGACTTTAGTACGTGGCTTACGCAGCCGCAGCGCCACCTTAAGAGCCGGCGGAGGGATGGCGTGCACCTGTTCGCACACGCGTCCGGTACTCAGACCGCCCCCCAGCAGCCTAGCCTGCTGCCCACTACCCCACCGCCTACATCTGAGCAGGAGGCCGAGTACCAGCGCCAGTTCCTCGCTCGCGACGTGTGGGAGTCTCGTGACGCCGCTGCCTGCCTCGCCCTGACCGACCTTCTCCCACCGACCGAGGCAGTCCACTTCACTCAGGTCGAGTCTGCTGCAGATCTGTATAAGGCTATTGTTGATCGCTACTCCACTCCCTCCTCTGCTTCACTCAGTCGCCTCCTCGTCCCCTTTATCTACCCTGACCTCGCCTCCTTTGAGACTGTCTCTGACCTCGTTACCCACCTTCGCTCCCTTGACACTCGCTTTTGCGCTGCTTGCAGTGAAGACCAGCTTGCCCTTGCCCCGCCCCCTATGTGGCTCACTATTCACTGGCTAGTCACTCGCCTCCCTGACCGCCTAGCCACAGCCCGCGACGCGCTTCTTCTGAAGCACCCCACTGAGCTTACCATCGATCTTCTTGAGACCGCTCTCTCGAAGATCGAGAGTAACCTCCTCACTGTTGCCTCTGCCTCTTCCGCGCCTCCTCCTCGTCTTTTTGAGGGGTGTGCGGTACCACAGCTTCCCACCTTCACTGCCTCCCTTGCCACCCCCGCGTCTTCTGCCTCTGAGGAGACGGCGGCTGTTTCTGTCTCTGGCGGACAGAAACGTGGCAAGTCCGGTAAGAAGGGCAAGAAGGGCGGCGGGGGTACTGGAGGTGGTGCGGGTAGTGGCGGTGGCGGTGGAGCAGGTGGTGGGAGTGGTGGTGGGGGTGGCTCGGGACCTGACGGCCCTCCTCTCGACGGTGGAGTTTTCACTGGTGGTGAGGGGTTCCAGCAGCAGCAGCAGCAGCCGGCTTCTCAGCAGCTGCCACCGCCTGGACAGCAGCAGCGGCAGGGACAGCAGCAGCAGCGACAGGGCCAGCAGCAGCGCCCGCCACAGCCACAGCCGCAGCCGCAGCAGTGGGGCCCTCCGCAGCAGTGGGGCCCTCCGCAGCAGTGGAGGTCTGCGGGTCCCCCGAGCACTGGGCGCAGTGCCGCCCCCTCTAGTTGGAGACCTCGCTCGGCCGGTCGCGACGTTGGTCCCTGTGAGTACTGGATCCTTACGGGTCCTCGTAGGGACTCGTACTGTGGCCGCCCCGACCACTCTGCTGCACGCTGCTTCAGTCGTCTCGACGACCTCTACCGCTTGCACCACGGCCCCTCCGCTCCCCCGCCGCCACGCTGGGGGACACTTCTTGCTCGTGGTATCTCTGTTTTTGATATGACTATGGATGATGCTAGGTCTTATGCCATGTATGCTGATGTTGACTATAGTGCTCCTGGATCTGTGTACCTGCATCTAGCGTAGGATCTTTGCCTGTTGCTAGAGTAGGTGCTAGTGTAGGATCTTGTTTAGCTACTAGTACAGGTGCTCCCTCGGCGGACGCGTCTCTCTCCTTCACACTGGACTCAGGAGCGACGCAGTGCTTCTTTCGCGACCGCACGACTCTCTCTCCACTACCGGCGCCAGTCTCCATAGCACTGGCCGATCCCTCTTCGGGACCGGTCATTGCGACTCACGCCACTACACTCCCGTGCCCAGCTGCCCCTTCCGGTTCCCTGACTGGCCTCCACGTTCCTACGTTCTCTAGGAACCTGGTTGGTGTGGGCCCCCTGGCGAGACAGCACGTCGGGGTCTGGGTTGAGCCTTCTGGTGACACTGCAGTCTGTGTGGACGGTGACACGTACGCCCCCTTGGCCACTTTCCGCCAGGAGCCGGGCTCCGGTCTGTACACCCTCCACACCGACCCCCGTCA